TTCGGTCCAAATTGGACGGGCCCCTAGGATTCCTTTTGAATGGCTTTTTCTGCTGACCGGATTTAGAGCCTCTGAATCCGGCATTAAATGTCGTATCCTCAGCATTGTCGCCGTTAATGCGGCGCTTCTGCTTGTTGCGACGCGACCTGCCGCTATTGTCCCTGGTGTCCGAATTACCAGGGTTCTTGGTCATATTGTTGCTACGAGCAAGCCAGCTGTCTTCTCCCGCGCAAAAGTGGGTTATAACTGTCGTGAGTGCTGCCATAGATTTCGGATTTTCCTGTCCAAGGTGCCGGGCCAGCCACTCGTCACGGATATTGTGCTTCAAGGCTGCTAGGGCCTCAGTGTCCGGACAATCGACTATTTGATTTTTCTTTGTTAGGAACCGTGTCCAGAATTGTCTGGCCGATTCCTCTGGCTGCTGAATTACGTGACTTAGGTCATCGGCGTCTGGGGGTCGCACATAAGTGCCCTGGAAATTGTCGAGGAATGCGGCTTCCAGGTCCTCCCAACAACTGATTGATCCTGTTGTCAAGCTGTTAAGCCAATGCCTGAGTGGGAGGTATTTGATGGCGTGGAAATCGTCGCCGTGGGCCATGTGGATATGGAGGAGATAATCCTCGATCCATACCGCATGATCTGTTGTGCCATCATATGATTCGATGTTTACGGGTTTGAAACCCTCGGGGATTTGATGATCCATTATTTCGTTTGTAAAGCAGAGTGGGTGTGCGGCGCCTCTGTATTGGGCTATATCATGACGTAGCTCCAATGAGCCTTGTCTACTATGTTCGGCCCCGCCGAATTTGTGGCCGGCGTGACGGTTACCGTCTCGAGCCGTGGGGCGCCCACGCGATCCGTAGATCGATCTTGTTTGCCTTGCCTTGTCCTCCAACATGTCTCGTAAGTCCGGCGCATATTCCCCTGCCTTGGTACGGGGTGTGGCTTGAGTGGAGGGCCGAGAGGCCTCTCTGTCGCGACCACGAGGTGGTCGGTCGGCCGCATCAAGTGCTTCCTCCTCTAATCGGGGTAGCAACCTGCGCTTTGGGTAGCTCTTGGAGGGGCGTTCGAGTTTATGCTCTTCGGCCGCAAGGACTTCAGTCCATCTGTCGACTAGCAAATCTTGATCAGCCCTAAGCTGTTGCTGTTTTTTCTTGAGGCTTCTTGCCGTGGCCATAAGCCTGCGTTGAAAACGCTTTTGCTCAACGGGATCCTCTGGCACGACGAATTCGTCGTCGTCGAGGCTTGCCTCGTCTTCGGAGGGAGGCATATAATTATCGTCCTCGACCTCTCTGTCTGCCGCTCTCTCGTGAGGGCTGGTTTCTCCATCCTCCTGTGCTAAATCTTGCTGGAGGGGGTTTTCTTCGGCGCTTTCCGGAGTATTATTATCTCCCGTGCTGGAATCACCTTGTTTGTTTTGGCGGGATTTTGAGCGGCGCCGCTGACGCCGGCGCTTAGGCTGTTTCTTGGAGGGGTCATCCTCCGCTGCATCATCATCTCCCTTTTTTGGGGTGTCCATCATGTATATGTCATATGACGAGGTGGCTTTCCAGGGCCTAGTAGGCGCTGGTTCTTCATCATCTCCTTCATCGGCGTCCATACCGTCGATATCTTCGGAGTCGAAGTCGAGCATGTCGGTTAAGTCGTCGACAGTGGCTACAAAGTGGGTGGTGGGTGGGCTTTGAATTTCTTCATCGTCCGTACCCCAACCTTGCTGACCGTAGTCTGGCCAGGGCTCTCCTGATAAAAAGAGAGACTTCAGTGACTTCAGGATATCGCCAAAAGGCGAGTGCTGAAAGATGTCTGTGGCAGTGAACTCCATGATCGGCGCCCAATCGGGTTCGATCGGCAGGGGCGCGGGAGCCTCGGAGTCCGGAGAGGAGTCCGGCTCCTTGGAGTCACGAGTCTCGCAGAGTACGGGGCTGGTGCTTGGCTCAATCGTCGTTAGGGTTGCAGCCCCCGAGGTAGCGTCCAACCGCCCATCCTCGATCGGCGCAGTTGGCTCCGAATTAAGGGTCGGAGCCGATGCGGATGCGGCCTCCAGGGCACTGTTCGGCGGTAGAGCTAGATCATGCTCGTCATGAAAGTGTGGCGCGCTCGGCAGTGGCTCGAATCCGTCGAAGATCAAGTCCCCGCGGATGTCAGCCGTGTAGTTTAAACTTCCAAATCTGACCTGACTGCCGGGGCGTAGCTTTCGATCTGCTCCAGACGGCCAAGCGAATTGGCCCGCAGTGCGAAGCCGCTGAAAACGAAGATCTGTCCGGGGAGGAAGGTCTCACCCTGGACTGCATCGCTATTGATGATCGTAGGAGCCATCGAGCCTGATGGCGACGACACAGAGGAACTCTCAATGAAAGCATCAACGTCGGTGTCAAAACCGGCGGATCTCGGGTAGGGGGTCCCGAACTGTGCGTCTAGGCTGGATGGTAACAGGAGACAAGGGACACGAAGTTTTACCCAGGTTCGGGCCCTCTCGATGGAGGTAAAACCCTACGTCTTGCTTGATTAATATTGATGATATGGATAGTACAAGAGTAGATCTACCACGAGATCGAGGAGGCTAAACCCTAGAAGCTAGCCTATGGTATGATTGTCGATGTGTATGTTGTCCTACGGACTAAAACCCTCCGGTTTATATAGACACCAGGTAGGGTTAGGGTTACATAGAGTCGGTTACAATGGTAGGAGATCTACATATTCATATCGCCAAGCTTGCCTTCCACGCCAAGGAAAGTCCCTTCCGGACACGGGACGGAGTCTTCAATCTTGTATCTTCATAGTCCAGGAGTCCGGCTGAAGGTATAGTCCGGCCATCCGGACATCCCCTAATCCAGGACTCCCTCAAGGAGCTCCCGGCGTAGGAAGATCTCGCCGCGGAGGACGAGCACGCGGCAAAGAACGGGGTACGGTCGTGCCAACGGGCGTATTCGTTCGTCTCGCGGACGCAGAAGCTCGGCGGCGGCGAGAGGCCGCGGTTGGTCCACTTCCTCGCCCCGCGCTTCCTCGCGCTGTCCGACCGGACGCGTCGCTCGCGCTCGGGGTCGCTGTCGCCGCCGGATCTGCTCCCGGAACAGTGTTCGGAGCTCCACATGGCGGCTGGAGGCGGAAGGGGCTCGCCGACGACGAGAAATGTGGGGAAGAGAGTGGGGAATTGTGTAGCTCGGCGGCGGCGGGGGATAGGGTTTCGACCCGCAAACGCGTCGCGAACCCGTAAATATACTGGTCGGGACGTGCGGTTTGCGGGCCGCGGCAAATATTTTTACGGCCCCGACGAGTATACGGGCTCTGTTCTGGCCGGAAAATTGGGGCGAGCCCGTATACTCGCCGGAATTTTGTGGGTTTGCGGCTTTTGCGAGGTCTGCTAGAGTTGCTCTAACTAGAACCTCTTTACCTGCAGTTGATAGAGTATTTTCTATCCATTCCCGCACTTTACTCCATAGACAGTCTTTCAAATATTTAGCAGGCTAAACTGTACGTGTTTGGTTGGAAAAGATGATCCAATGTCGAGGACTCGGTACTCATTGCACGAACCAAATGCTATTTTAATTGCAAAAGGAAAAAAGAACCATTGCTATTTTTAGAAAATCGCACTTCTACATGCAACCGTGAAGAGTCTGCGGTCTGCGACAGTACCATCGTTTGCTGAAGAACAGAAGAAAGAAAATTAAGGGCAGCAGTCCAAGATTAGGAGGAAATCACTCACCACTTGGCAAAAATGGACATGAGCGATGGGGCAACTCCCTTTCGCTCCTCACGTTCATCCACCATATTCGCGTACGTCCTCCAATATTCAAAGTAGACAGAGCCTTCCCCTGAACAAGTTAATCCTCCCCTTGACCTCGGGGAACCCAATAATCCTCGACGCCGGCACGCGATGGCAAGGACGCCGGCCTCGGACGACGACGACGATGGCCCGCCCACCTACACCGTGGCACGCGGGACTCGCCGTGACCCCCGGCTCAAGGACCTCGGCATCTCCTGCATGCTCAACACGGAGGTGGCCGCGCTCCTCGCCGTCATTCGCCGCCGTCCGGACCCCTACGCTTACCTCCCTCCGGCGGTCGCCGCTGCCGAAGAGGCCGTGTTCGCAGGCCTCATCCAGTCCCTCAAGAGCCTCCGTGCCCTCCTCTTCCAGCCCCGCCACGGCGCGTGGCGCTGCTCCGACCCGTCCATGTACCTGTCGCCGTTCCTCGACGTCGTGCAGAGCGAGGAGGTCCCGCCGGCGGCCACCGGCGTCGCCCTGTCGTCCGTGCTGAAGATCCTGCGGATCGACGTGTTCGACGAGTGCTCGCCGGGCGCCCGGGACGCGATACAGGCCATCCTGACCGCGGTCACCAACTGCCGCATAGAGCGCATCGCGGACGCCGGCGCCGAGGAGGCCGTGCTCCTCCGCGTGCTGCAGGTGCTCGCCGCGCTCCTCCGCGCCCGCGCCGCGCCCCTCCTTTCGGACAGCGCCGTGTGCACCGCGGTCAACACGTGCTTCCAAGTGGTGCAGCACGCGGCCAGCAGCCGCGGCAGCGAGCTCCTGCAGCGCACGGCTCGGCACTGCATGCACGAGATCCTGCAGGCCGTCTTCGCCCGCCTGCCGGACATCCGTGACGACGCTGAGGACGACATGTCCGTCACCTCCGCGGCAGGCTTCGGCGCGCGGTGCATGGTTGATGTCTTCAACTTCCTCTGCTCGCTGCTCCTCAATGCCCCCGACATGGTGATGACGCCCGAGGGGCACGGCGCGTTCACCTCCGAGGAGGACGTGCAGCTCTTCGCCCTGGTGCTGCTCAACTCGGCCGTGGAGCTCGGCGGCGAGGCCATTGGCAAGCATCCCAAGCTCTTGCGCCTCATCCAGGATGATCTTTTCTACCACTTGATCTACTACGCCACGTAGTGCAGCCCTCTGGTCCTCTCCATTATCTGCAGCACGGTTCTCAACCTGTACAACTTCTTGCGCAGGTATGCACCCTTAACTATGTCATCCGAGTCTGTGGTTGCTCCCGTTTTGAATGGCATCTTGTTCCAGGTTCCTCAAGCTCCAGCTGGAAGCATTCTTCATGTATGTGATACTCCGAGTTGGCAGCGGTGCGAGCGGGATGCAGCTGCAGGAGGTGGCGATCGAGGGGCTCATCAGCTTTTGCCGGCAGCCAACCTTCGTGATCGAGATGTACGTCAACTATGACTGCGACCCGCTGATGCGCAATGTCTTCGAAGAGGTCGGCAAGCTGCTCTGCAAGGCGGCGTACCCGCTGTCGAACCCGATGACGACCGTTCAGCTCCAGGCGTTCGAGGGCCTCGTCAACATGATCACCACCATCGCCGACAACGTGGAGGTGGAGAAGGCCCCGGACCAGGAGGCGTACAACGTGGAGATCTCCGAGTACCGGCTGTTCTGGCTGGAGCGGTGGGACTCGAGCGACGACCATGGCCACGAGACCTGGGTGGACTTCGTCCGCAAGCGCAAGCTCAAGAAGAAGAAGGTGGCCATCGCCGCCAACCACTACAACCGCGACGAGAAGAAGGGCGTCGAGTTCCTCAAGCTGTGCCACCTGGTGCCCACCCCGCCGGACCCCAAGAGCATGGCCTACTTCCTGCGCTACTCGCCGGGCCTCGACAAGGTCAAGATCGGGGAGTTCCTCGGCGACCCGGACGAGTTCAACCTCAAAGTGCTCAAGGAGTTCACCGACACCTTTGACTTCAACGGCTCCATCCTCGACACCGCGCTCCGCACCTACCTCGAGTCGTTCCGGTTGCCCGGAGAGTCGCAGAAGATACAGCGCGTTCTTGAGCACTTCTCGGAGCGCTTCTACGAGCAGCAAACGCAGGAGGTGTTCGCGACAAAGGACGCCGCCTTCATCCTCTGCTACTCCGTCATCATGCTCAACACCGATCTGCACAACCCCCAGGTGAAGAAGAAAATGTCAGAGGATGACTTCATCAGGAACAACCGCGCCATCAACTCCGGCAAGGACCTTCCCAGGGAGTACCTGTCCGAGCTCTTCCACTCCATTGCGGTGAACGCCATCACCATGTTCAGCCAGGGCGCCACCAACGTCGAGATGACCACCAGCCGGTGGGCAGACATCGTCAAGCGGTCGCGCTCCATCGAGCCCTTCACCCCTTGCGACTTCAAGCACAAGCTCAGCCGTGAGGTGTTCATTGCCGTCTCCGGTCCGGCCGTCGCGACGTTGGCCGCCATATTCGACTACACGGACGACGAGGAGATCCTGAACCAGTGCGTGGAGGGCTTGATCTCCGTGGCGCGCATTGCACGCTACGGGCTGGAGGACGTGCTTGACGAGCTCCTCTGCTGCCTCTGCAAGTTCACGACGCTGCTGAACCCCTACGCCACCACGGAGGAGACCATCTTCACTTTCAGCAATGAGCTCAAGCCGAGGATGTCAACACTGGCTCTCTTCACCATCGCCAACAGGTTCGGCGAGTCGGTGCGAGGCGCTTGGAAGAACATCGTCGACTGCCTGCTCAAGCTCAAGCGGCTCAGGCTGCTACCCCAGTCGGTGGTCGAACAGGACGGCAGCGTGTCCAGCCGTTTAGGCCCTCGCCCCAAGTCAGATTCAGCCGCCATTTTCCCCTCGTCGCACCGTGGCGCCGGGACAAGCCGACATGTGTCCGGCATGATCGGCCGGTTCTCGCAGTTCCTGTCTCTCGACGGCTGTGGCGAGTCGCTGCTCTGCGTCGGCAACGAGTTCGAGAACAACCTCAAGATCATCCAGCAATGCCAGATCGGCAGCATGTTCACGGAGAGCGGGAAGCTGCCTGACGAGTCGCTGCAGAACCTTGGGCGGGCGCTTATCTTTGCGGCCGGTGGCAAGGGCCAGAAATTCAGCACCCCGATCGAGGAAGAGGAGACCGTGGGCTTCTGCTGGGATCTCATCTTGCTCGTCTCCCTGGCCAACCTTCATCGCTTCGCGTCCTTCTGGCAGCACATGCACGACTGCTTCACGGCCGTGTCCATGCTGCCGCTCTTCTCGCCGTGCCCTTTCGCGGAGAAGGCCATCGTAGTGCTCTTCAAGGTCGCCGTGAAGCTGCTCCCGGGACAGGCCACCCCCGACCGCCTCGCCGAGGAGCTCATCTGCAAGTCGGTCAACCTGATGTGGAAGCTTGACAAGGAGATCCTCGACACGTGCTGCGAGGGCATCTCGGAGTGCATCGTGAAGCTGATCATGGAGCACGCCGGGAGCGTGCAGACGCCGCTCGGGTGGAAGACGCTGCTGCATCTGCTGTCCGTCACCGGCCGCCACCCGGAGACCTTCGACCAGTCTGTGGCCGCGATGATCAAGCTGATGAGCGACGGGGCGCACATCTCGCGGTTCAACTACGCGGCCTGCGTCGAGGCGGCCTTCGGTTTCGCCGCGCTCAAGATCAGCCCCCTCGAGATTAGCACCAAGATCCTGGAGCTGATGGCCGAGTCCGTGAACTGGCTCGTGCAGTGGCACAAGTCCGGCTACTCTGACCCGGGGAGCAGCAACAGCTTGTCGTCGGTGGAGGACGCGTCGCGCATGGGCAACCTGGCGACCAACATGTTCATCAAGCTGGCGGAGACGCTGCGCAAGACGAGCCTGGTGCGGCGGGAGGAGATCCGCAACCAGGCCGTGACGGACCTCGGCCGGAGCTTCGCGCTGGCCGCGGCGGGGGACCTGGACTTCGGCCCTGCGGGCTGCCTGGCCTGCTTCAACCTCGTCATCTTCGCCATGGTGGACGACCTGCACGAGAAGACGCTCGAGTACTCCCGGCGGGAGGGCGCGGAGCGCGAGACGCGGAGCATGGAGGGCACGCTCGCCGCGGCGACAGAGCTGCTGGCCGACGTCTTCGTGCTCTTCCTGGGGACGCTGGCGCAGGGGCCGGGCTTCCGGACCTTCTGGCTCGGCGTGCTGCGTCGGCTGGACACGTGCATCAAGTCCGACCTGGCGGCCGGCGGCGGCGCCGGCGTGATGCAGGAGCTGGTGCCTCGGATGCTCAAGAGGATGATCGTCGAGATGAAGAACAAGGAGGTGCTGGTGCAGAGAGACGGAGACGAGCTCTGGGAGATCACCCACATCCAGATCCAGTGGATTGCACCTGCCGTCAAGGAAGAGCTGTTCCCCGAGTAGTTAACCTCACAGAATAATGTTTGGAGAACAGGAAAAATTAGATTCATATACTTTGTAGGTCTGAATTACCTGTTTAGCTTGTCGTGTATAGTTTCCAGTTTGACGGCTGGCTTATCTGCATCTGCCCCTTTTTTTGGTGCCAACTTACCATGCCACAAGCTTGAACAATGATCGTTCAGGGATAATTACTTGGTAACTGGTAAGGCGGTTAATTACTCAACTCCACAAGCTTTACAAAGAATATGTGCAATTTGCACCAACTTTAAACCAGAGAAAATAATAAGCGAGACAACAAGGAATCAAAGACTTGAAAAAACAACGAATGACTCAAATCTGGGCAAGTACAGCTGCAAACTAGCACTACAAATTAGCCAAGCTTATATTGATCAAATCACATGTTATTGATCCATATTAATTTTCATCCACGTGGTCATCCCTAACTGGGGAAAATACAACAATTAAGTAATCACTGATATTCTGTTCAGCTTCACACGAGTGATACAAAAGATAATTATACAACAAACTGCACGGGGCGTCGACAGATTGAGTTAAACTCGGATATCTGACAGTCCTAATATCTAACAATACCAATCGTAATTAAGGCTACCGGATCCAACTATTGACATGATATCCCCATTTTGTGTCTGAAACACCTTGTGGATCCAACTACTGACATGATATCCCAGCTTTGTTCCTGCATCACGGAGATTAAACAAGTCATCTTCCATGTTCAAGTTCTGGACTGTTTAAATTCTAGTACAGGACAGAAACCAACATTCTATCTGGATAAAACAATGTGATTAAACCACGTGTGCAAAAAGATAAGGACCTTTCACCTTGTTAAAAACAAAAATGTGGACATGACATATTATTGAAAATATTATGAACAATGATGTGGGATTTTCACTGCAACAGGAACTTCCATGAACTATTTGGTCAACATCCAACATCCTGGAGTTATGTAATGGTACTCCAAGTGGTTGTATTAGTGGTACTCGCCAATATTTAGGAATTATAATCGACTACTTGTACATATATTACAAAAGGGTGTGGTAACAATAGGTAGTTGTAGTTCATGACACCAACTAAAAGGTACTCACAGGGATGCATTCAAACATGTCAATCATAACCACACCAAGCAACAAGCTCCAAGGCTCCATGCAAAGTTGGAACTTCTATTCTACGCCCTCCGTTCCTAAATACGTATAAGTCTTTTTAGAGATTGCAATACGGACTACATACGGATGTATATAGACATAATTTAGAGTATAGATTCACTCATTTTGGTCCGTATGTAGTCTATATTGGAATCTCTAAAAAGACATATATTTAGGAACGGAGGGAGTAGTTTCCAAGTGACTCCCACATCACCAAGGATTTATTAGCACCAACCAAAGATAGAGGTAAACCAAGTATCAAACATAAAGGAACAGGAGACACAGTATTTCAACTAGTGCATACTGAGGTAGCACTCCAACAAAAAAAAACTGTATTGAAGAGTGAAACTAAATAAATATCCATGTGTTTGCTGTGAAATCACTAGATAACAGAGTATAGCTCAAATTTCGGATACGCATAGTACTGCTTCGAAAATTTCTAATTTTGTGGTAACTTGTAAACAAACACACTCAGTCTTTTCATTTAAAGCATGGAAACAAATAACCAGCTTGCAAAGAGGACTTATCCGTCTTTCCGTCATTAATTCTGAAGCATCATTTGACAAAAACTGAGGTGACACACTTCCCAAGAAGATACTATCTTGAGCATGTATCGTAATGAAGTATAAACAAATGACAGCCTCCATGCTGCTGCTTGAAGATACAATAACATATATTGTGATCTTTTTTCGAACTTCATTTTTTTCACAAATACGGTTCTTAATAATTTGTAAAGGGGAAGTGCATATTTGGCTAACATTAGAGCCGTAAATCAAGCTCAACGAGTTCCATCTAGGCATAGATAGAGGTCATAAGATATGATTCAGAGTGTGCAAAAGAACACCGACAACATATGCATATCAAATCTTTCATAGTCGAAAGCCGCAAACACAAGTCAACATATGACCTAGAAATTCCAATAGTAGGATATCTTTCCCTATATCTCAAATGAAGTCCTGGTGGTGGTGCATGGTAGTCGGTGGGCTCTGGCTTGTTGGGGTCACCTTGCGGTTGGGCAGCGGCGTGTGGGCCATGGCATTGTTGGCATGGTTGGCGGCAGCAGCGGCAGCGGCGTGCGTCATTGATGGTGGTGGTGTGGGGGTGCCGGAGCCTTGGGTCAAAACACAACTCCACCTTGCTTGCCATCGACGATGACGGCGCCCATGGGCGTTGTTCCCCTCCTTGGAGGTCCATTGTGGGTGCTCTGGCTCATCTCCCGCCATCAAGGGTTTAGTTTCTCCGAGCGAAAGCTCGAGTTCCAGGTTTTTGCTGGAGCGGGCGACCGTCGCGTCCTCATCGCTTCCTCCTTGGAGGCACCGTCTCGGGACGCCATGACCTAGCCAGATGAGCTTTTGCCGCGCTGAGTTGTGCTAACAGCGTTCAGTCGCATGGGTAACTAAGCCATCGGCTCGGTTGTTGTGCGGCCTTGGAGCCGGTGTGGAAGTTGGAGCGATGGCTCCGGATTTTGTCATCTAGTTAAGGATGCCGACGCTGGTCCCTTAGGTGGCAGAGCTGTCTGCTAGCTTGGTGCGCCGCCTCATGGCCGATGTGGAAGTCAGAGTGGTGGCTCCAGATTTTCATCTTCATGGGAAGCCGGCTTTGGTCGCTTGTGTGGCAGTGTCGTGGGCCGGCCAGGTGCCCGGCCTCAGGACCGACGTGTGTGTGTTGCTTAGGGTCGTAAGTTGGAGCAGCGGCTCCAGATATGGTTACGGTGGTGTTTTAGGGTGTCTTCTCTGGTTACTAGTGTGTGGCCTTGAGGCTGATGTGGATGCCAGAGTGGTGGCTCCGGAATCTGCCGTTGCGTTTTAGGGTGTCGTCTCTGATCACTTGGGTGGCAGAGGCGCTGGCTCGTCTGGCGCAGAGCCTCAGAGCTGGTGTGTGCGTGTGTCGCAAATGTATCGATTTTCAGCCAGATTTCCTTATTAACTGCTCAATTCTCTTCTTCTTAATGAAAAGGCAGAGCTCTTGCCGGTTGCTTGAAAAATATCTCAAATAAAATTTTGAATTATTCTATGGTACCAACACAGATCTAACCTAGCATATGTCTCCAACAACTCATAGCTAGTCTCACTCTCCTATAGAAATGTAGGCAGAGCTCTTGCCGGTCGCTCGAAAAAAATCTCAAATAAATTTTTGAATAACCCGATGGTAGCAACTAGCAACCAAGATCTAACCTATAGCATATCCTATATACCTAAGAGATTCATCACCACTAACTCAATTATCTTAACATGCAACTATGCCAACTCACCATGCCACCATGCATGCCCCACTAGATTTAATTCTCTCAACATGCAACTATGCCAACTCACCATGTCATTATGCATGAAAGAACTCACATTAACATGCACCATGCATGCTACTCATATTCAATAAATATTCTGCAAATTTATAATAATAAAGTGTGTGTACTTTAGTTTCTATTCTCATATTGCTAACACAAATACTAAAGTTTCACACTGCCAAATCTTATAGAAATAACTGCATCCAGTTCCCGCAGCAACGTGCGGGGTATCATCGCTGATCTCATTCTCCTATAACAATGTAGGCAATTTTAAGGCAAGGCTTGGTACTCATTTTGTTTCTTTTTAGTCTGCATATAACTTTTGCCTGAAGTCAAAGTATTTCTTGTTTGACCAAACTTATAGAAAAAAGTATCAACATTTACAACGCCAAAGGAATATCTTTAGATTCATTATGGAATGTAGTTTCATATTATGTATATTTGATATTGTAGATGTTGATATTTTTTATACAAATTTGGTCATAGTTTGTAAAGTTTGACTCGACACAAATCTTATATGCGAAGTAAAAAGGAACAGAGGGAGTACTTCGACATATTTCCCTATAATTACCATAGTCATTTGTTGCTATTGGTGTCATCTAAATCATCAATACACTAAGGCAATTAGCTGTGCCTTCTCATAGGATTTCATTTTCCTTGCACGGACCTAACATCAACCACATTACAATTCTCCTAGCATGCTCCTTCTAATATATGTGGATACAGATTATACCTCAAGCAAAATTTCAAACAAATCATAAACGCAAGACCCTACAAAATAATCAAAGGTGTCATATCAAGGCTCAGCCGCTCAGAATGCTGGCATGGGTGTATAACTAATAGACCTACCAAGTACAGCTGGTCACATCTATTTTACTTTCTTGAATGATGTGTTGAGTTCTCTATATGAAATTAAAGATAGGCGCCCACCATGATAAGCCATAAAGCATGAGGAATGCAACATAATCTAAATACAATGCTATGGAACATGATTTGGCCCACAATTTGTCATCTTGGATGAAATGAACCAACCTCATTTGCTGAACTTGTACGTGCTGGGCTAAGGAGAAGCATCCAAAGCGCCATTGTTCTGCTCCTCAACACCATTGTAATCCTCTAATCTATTGTTAACAGCACCATCCTTTGCATCCTCCTCCTCAAGACTCGCTATCTCCATTTGTGCCTTCTCCAAAATCTCTCTCCGCCTCACCTCAAGATCCCTTTGCATATCCTTCCGCATACGTTTCAACTCCGCCATGTGCTGCCTCCTGCTACTCTCCACCCTCTCATAAACCTCCCTAAGCCTATGAATTGCCTCTGTGAGAATCGCATATTCCTCCCCCTGTACTGCGACAGGCTCGTATGTCTGTCTTTCCCTCAATTGCACATCTGGCACTGAATTCCCTGGTACCACTTTGCTACATCCAGCGAGCACAAGCTCCCCAACGTCCACCCCCCATGAACGGCGTGGCACTGGATGCGTGTCACGGCGCCGCGTCACGAGAGGAGTTAGTGGCGGCAGTAGTGGCGGCGGGGTCGGCGTCGGTGGGCACATGAGGGACAGCATCTTGTCGAAGTATACCCATTTGGAGGGCGCGGGGTTGCTGGAGCGGTGGGCAGCCAGGCGGGACCTCTCCTTCTCCTTCCGAAACATCTTCCTGAGGGTGTCGATGCGGTTGCGGCACTGCGACTCGGAGAAGTATCCCGCGGGGCGGGAGGCGGCGGCGGCTACGATGCGGGAAACCTCGAGCCACTCGTCGGCGCTGAGGCTGCGGCGGCCGTCGCAGGCGAAGCGTTCGCCCCAGGCGTCGAGGAGCGCGAAGGTGGACTCCTCCGTCCACTCAGGCGTCGTGCGCGGGGCCGGAGCTGAGGGCGCAGAGCGTGGAGCGAACTCGAAGCCGAGCGCATAGCGGTCGGTGCGGCGACGCTTGGAGCGCGGCGAGGGGGAGGCACCGGAGGAGGAGGGCGATGCAGACGGGGAAGCAGCGGCGGCGTCGTGGTCCATGTGCTGGGCTAGGGTTTGGGCTGGAGCTGTTCGGCGATGTGGATTAGCCGGAACGATTGCGAGTCCGGCGAGGTTGGGAGTAGTACGATTTTTACGCATGTATCGCCCACTAGTACTTCGACGGAAAATCTTGTGCCCGTCAGATTGGAGATTGTGCGGGCAAGATCGCGAGGAAAGAAATCTTTTTGGAAAGGGCGCTGCTATCTTTCGGTCGACCGATCCAAATTTCGGCCTCTGACTATAGAATCTCTTTCATCCTAGTCGTTTAATTCTCGTCCCGTCAATCTTTCATCTCTCACATATGTGCATTTTAGGTCAATGAAGTCACGGGCAGCCCCATCGGCCACCGCCACCGCTGCAGCTCGTAGTTCGCCCCCATCGCCCACCGCCACCGCTGCAGATCTTAGTACGCCCCCATCGGCCACCGCTCTCACTCATTGCAGTAGGAGTTGTCCGCTCGTAGCAATTGGTCGCCATCGTCGTCAGTTGTGGCTCGCCGTCAACTCAATGCACTCGATTGTGACTCTTGCAGGACAAATCTCGAGCAGCATGCCTGACTCCTCTCGTCGCCGCCGCAGCCTCCTATATGTTGTTCGGAGTCCCAGATTAGATCATGGACATGACGAGGAGTCTCGAAATGGTTGAGAGGTAAAAATTGATATATATAGGACGATGGTATTCGGATACTGGAAGTGTTCCGGAGGGTACCGAGTATATATAGGGTCACCGAAAGGAGTTCCGGACACCTCCGGCAAAGATATGAACTTAATGGGCCAAGGGAGGGACAGATCAACCCAAAAAGGACGGGTGCGCCCCTCCACCAGGACGGCCAGCCCTAGGGAAAGGAAAGGGAAAAGGACAAGTCCCTCATTCCTCCCCCTCCTCAAGGGAGAAAGGAAAGGGGGGCGTCACCTCCCCCTTCCTTCCCCTAGCGCCTATACAAGGAAGGGGCGCGAACCAGGGCAGGAGCCCAAGTAGGATATGGCCCCACTTGGGGCGCCTCTTGGCCTCTCCCCTCTCCCTCCCACCAATATATATATATATATATATATATATATATATATATATATATATATATATATATATATATATATATATATACTAGGAAAAATGCCCGTGCGTTGCAACGGGAGAAATCATCCATGCACCCCACTTGTGAAAGAAAACAATGTAAATAAAATTTGAGATCTTTCCAATTGCCTGACATGAGAAATTAAGATTCTTTTAGTGCACATATTCCGCAAAGTAATTAAAGTGAAGCTTAACATTCCAACTCTATAAGATCCCTATACGTGCAGAACGAAACACTTACTTTAGCGTTGTGGCTAGCTCATTCTACAAACAATCTATTGATCCCTGGTTCAATCGCGGCTTAAACATTACTGTTCGAATGCTAGCGGAAGAGAATGTTCATGGTAGAACAATTAACATCAAAACCATGAATCTAAATGGCCAATAATTTAGTGCACCCTCTTATTTTGGTTAATAGTGTTCATATATTTATAGTGCATCAAAAGAACTTACATCAATTTCTAGTTTTTACCATAAATACATATGGCGTGTCCTAGTGCTAACTGTATGTACAAAAATGATTTCAACACACTATTTGCTACATACGTCCTCATATAGAAATGATATAATTGATGCAAGTATGTCTTTGTGTCGGCACGAACAAACATAAACTTCTACTAACAAATATGTAGGTTTGGAGTGAACAGTGGACCTTATTTTGTTCCAAGTTAAATATAACTATAAGACGACCCTATATATTTCACACAAAGAAATTCAAAGATAAAAGCAATCACTTCAATTATTTTATAAGAAAATGATTACTACCCTCTGATTTTGGGCTAACGGTGTTCATTTATTTACAGTGCATCAAAAGAAGTTACATACATTTCTAGTTTTACCACAAATACATATGATGTGTCTTAGTGCTAATTAACTATACGTACAAAAATAATTACAACACACTATTTGCACATATACCCTCATATAAAAAATGATATAATTGACGCAAGTAAGTCTTTGTGTCAATTGGGACAAACATAAAATTCCATTAACAAATATGCATGTTTGGACTGAATAATGGACCTTAATTTGTTTCAGGTCAAATATAACTATAAGACGGCCCTATATATTTCACACAAAGAAAATCAAAGAGAAAAGCAATCACTTCAATTAGTTAATAAGAAAATAATTAAAAACTCACTTATGGGTTCATAGTTACAATTGTAGGAAAACATCATATGAATCTTCTCTTATATATCTAAACATCGTTAGTTAATCGAAGGCCTTTTGCCATACATCATGGGAATTTGGCGTGTAGCTAAGTAATATACTCCAAGCATCTAACAGGATGGCCATGGTCAAACAGTTTTCAAAACTGACTGTCTAGTCTACCTACATAACATGATACACAATACAGGGTTACATGTCAAATGTATGGAAGAATATTTAACATTTATACATCTTATCTCCTCTAAATAATAAAGGAAAGGCAGAATGGTTATGCAGATAATCAAAGGTATACCATATATTCAAAAGGACACATTCAAATATTTAAACATGAGTTTAACCAACAATGCAAACTGTATAGCAAGACATCCATATTATTAAAAACTGCATTTTTCATTTTGAAAGATCAATTTATAAACATGCAAATCGTTTTTTGTTGTTGCATTTTTTCTCTGTTTTGAACAAACACAGGAGGGAAGAGTTTTTCTTCACATGCATAACGCTAACTTATTTGTTACTGAAACTGATGAATGTACAGGATGAATACAAACTTAGAAGTATTTATTTTTCAAAATACTACTCAACAAAACATTAGGACATACTATCAGATACTATGTTTAGTGTCAGATAATTTATGTACCAAATTTTACATAACAGAGGAAATATCTGATTAGAGTCAGATAATTTATGATCAAATGTACAAAACAGACAAGGGGTTCTCTTCTGCCAAGAGCCAGCGTGTGTGTGTTTCTGGTGTTTTCCATTGGATTTGCATGTGACGTGCACAACTGATGACCAGACACGTAAATAGTACTTTGTATAAAAAAAATCTTATCATTGGCAGCATATAGTCACATGTGCCCACTACGACAGGCGACAACCGCACCTAGTTTAGGGAGAGATTCCTTGGCAGATGCTGCCGCCGCTCTGACTTCGCTTCTGGTCTTATCCTTCCTCCTTGCTGCTCCTCCCCCTCCAAGCCCATCATTTCATCTCCATCGCGACGCCGTCTATCACCACCATAGTCGTGCCGCGGCTCGATCTGCTGCTCCTGAGCGCAGCCACCTCGTCCCCGACGCCGAGCTCCTTCTCCCCTGCCTTCTTTTCCCCGTCATCTCCGTGTTCTCTTCTTCTCTTTTTCTCCTGTTTACTCACATCTCCCTCTATCTCTCTTGCTCTCTGTTACAGAGGCCGCCATGGACGCCCGAGGTCCTCCGCTCCGAGTCTCCGACCCACACCCCGGCGTCCCTGCCGACGTCGTCGCCTAGGTGAGCAGCTGCTGCACCGTGATGTTGCCCCGCCTCCTCTCTCCCTCTCTATCTCTCCCCTGTCTCTCTCCCTCTCTCTCTTCTCTTTCTCAACCCTCTCTGTTTTCTTCAACAGGAAGACCACCATGCCCGCTGCAGGAGCTTCGAGCCGACCCCGCAGCATGTAGACCGCCGCCACCCGTCCGCCGTCGGGAATCACCAGATCCCCCCGTATCCGACCTGCCTCGCCATCCTTCTCCCGTTCCCGACGTCTCCTCAGCGCCAGAATCTCAGGCGAGCGACACCACAAGACCCTGCCTCCTCTGCCCCGGAGGCCGCCATGGAGGTCATCGCCTCTCCGTCTCGATCCGTCCACCATCGGATCCTGCTGGTATTCTCCAGGGACCCGCCATGGAGGTTGCCGCCCCTCCCATCTCGATCCTTCCGCACCCGGATCCACGGCAGAGCAGCCGAGATCCGTCGCCTGTTCTGCGACGCCTTGGCCCGCCAAGGCAAGCGCAGAGGCTGACAAGGCGCACAGGAAGGCCAATGGCCTCGCCAAGCAGCGGGAGGACTTGCGGGCTAGGGTAGCCAGCCGCAAGCTCGCGCGAGCTCGCCCCCATGCTGGCCAAGGCCACCTTCGGCGACCTCCTGTCCGCTGTGCACTAACGCCCGCCACGACGCCAGGGTTTTTTTTGCAAAAATGAAACGTTATCTCGTAAACAGACTTAAAATAGGATTGTGGGTTGAATTCTTAGGAAATAGAGGGACTTTTCTGCAAAAGTGCAGACGACGTACGACCAGAAACCATTGCTTTTATATATATATATATATATATATATATATATATATATTGGGAAAATCACTTCTACCACCTAGTGGTAACTACCTCCTAAGAATCCACCGTCCATCTTCCTTAATTAGATCCGAGCGTGGTTGCTTTTTTTCTCTCAGATCGTACAGAATCTTAACGGGTTAGGCTAGCTTCCACCCGACCCGTTTGATTATTAATTATTTTCATTAGTTTAATTGATGGTTATCCAAGGCGTACTGATCGCCCGAGCTTATCCCAGAAAATTTGAATGCATCTATATCTCTTCGTACGTACTTATCCGGATACTAACCAACTTAGCAATCTTTTCTACGTAAAAATAGCTGTGTTAGTATATTCTTGTTACGAACTAAAACAGTTCTTTTTGCTGGACCTCCCATTCTGCCTGGGCGACACCTCCGTCCACGGCTGTAGACGGCGGATCGGCGCTGTCGCCGTGGGTCACGCCGGCAGGACAGCACATCCGGTGCAGTGAAACACAGCTGGCCAACGTAATTCTTCAGTACCACAAACGTGAGGTAACTAAGTATAATCAAATATACTTTTCTTTATTGTTCGTTAGTATGATTAGCGAGATCATAGGTTGATCAGCTTCCATCTCAAAAAGAATTCATGTGGCCGAAACCGTAGAACTCACAACATCATACTAACATGCAACTGTTTCTTGGTCATAGATATGGGCAAGCCGAGCGGCAGCGGCAGCAAATCCAATTCTGATTTCAGGCGAGCTATCTCTGCAGTGCGCACTAAAAACCGAGATCAAATATCCGGCCAAAAACGTTCAGGTGGATCTCGCTCAAAGAAAAGGAGTTCCATAAAGAGGAAAGCATGGAAAGACAAACTGTACTCCAGGTGTGCTCCTTCTATCATTGTAGATCTCATGGAAGACCTTGACGACCAGCCCAGAAAGCTTGTAGAAGAGATGGGGTTTCAGGGATTACATAGCCTAAAGCTGCACAAGCTAAATAAACCATTAGGAGCCTGGCTGCTTAGTAAATTCGATACAAATTTGTTAGTTTTTTTTGCTGGGACAAGCAGAGAGCTAAAGATGACACCCGAGGACGTAAATCGTGTGAGCGGAATCCCATGTTCTGGCATGATCATAGTACCTCCAAGCCCACAAGATGTCATTTCTATGAAAGCATACTTTTGTGGTGTTTTCGAAAAATCCTCATGGGATGAAATCACTATCAGCTTCCTTTTGAAAATAGTAACAACAAAACCAAAAGGCGAAATGACAAGTGAAGAAATCCTGCGATTCAAGACCGCGTTTGCATTTTCTGTTGTTACCAAATTCTTCGCTCCACAATCCCTGAACAACTTCATATCAACACGATATATGAAAGCAGTGTTTGATATGGAGAACATTCATGCCTACAATTGGGCACAATTTGTCGCCGACGAGCTCAGACTAGCAGCAGCATCTCTGCAGTTGAAGCTTTCCCGTGGAAAGAACATTGGATACATCAATGGATGCATGTTAATCCCTCAGGTTCACTTAATACAAACTAATATATCTTGATGTATGCTTGGTTTACGTATTTAACTTACAAAGGTTACTTTAATTTTTCAGATTCACTACCTGGACAGCTTGGACTTTGGCAAGGATTCTCCTCCCGACCACATTATTCCCCGGTTTGCTGCATACAACGACGCCATGGTCTGTAACCTGATCAAACGGGATATAATTCTGAAAAATCGACTGCCTTTTCCGACATATGGTAAACTAAAGGTACATCATACTACATACTCCATACTACAACCTAGCATATCATATACTACAAAAATTTTCCACTACTAGTTCTTTATTGGATGATATATTATCTTTCAAGGATACTACGTACAAGTTCAGAGAAATACTACCTACTTTTTTTTGATATATACTACATACTAGTTCAGCGAGATACTACATACTCGATACTACAACCTAGCAAAGCAAACACTATAAACCTATTACACGGTGCTTTCTCCTTACATTATACTACGTACTAGTTGTATTTACGTTCAATTTATGAGAGTTACTACCTACTTTCTTCCAAGAGGCACTACATACTAGTTTCGAGATATACTACATACTATTTTTGGGAGATACCACATACTATTTTCAAAAAAGTCAACACACTCCTCTCACAACAGAAATACATACTACTTCGAAGACATACAACGTACTACTTCCGAGAATTACTACATTCTACTTAATCCTTACTACTTATTACAAACTACTCCCTCTAGATACTACATACTATTTTTGAGAGGTACTACACTCTCCTTCCATGATAATTGCCCCTCCTAGATGATTGTCGTTTTTCTACACAGATACGCAGTCCTCACAGCATACGCTACGAGTCAGGACCATGTGTGCACGCGCCCCCTCGTACTCCTGTTTCTGGTAGAGTGTTCAATTCCCTGGTTAACTTGGAGACACCAAAATTTGACATGGGATTGAGTCAACTTGAGCCCGGCGACAACACCACAGTGTGTAACCAAGTCACCCGAGTCACTGCAAACTTATCGGCACAGTTTGACATGGCAGCTGAGACAACCGTAGTGCCAGATACACCAGATCAACCTCAACAAGCTCCACAATCAGGTAAAACCAGGAAGTAATTCACTTTCATTCAACAAATGTATGAAACAGTAACGCCCATTGTGTCATCATTTTTCAGATTTTCCTGACCCTACTCCTACTTCCATATCGCCTCATTCTTTACTGCAAGAGACGAGTGCAATAAGGATTTCTATCCATGAGGAATGCGGTCTCCCGAAAGTACAACCCAAAACAAGGAGGAGAATCATCGGGGTACCATCTGATATGCTTCTAGACGTACCAAAACGAGTAATAAAACCAAGCAGAATGGTGAAGTCCCCATTTCTTTGCAAACAGTACCAATGTGTAAGGCTTGATGTCCAGGCACAAGAAGATTTATTCACATATACAAAATCAATTTCTGCTGCCGACCAACTGAGGTTAGTATTATTTGTTTTACTGTTTATACATGTCCGAAGTATTATAACTCACTGTGACTACTGCCATTCTTTTTCCACAGAAAAATTTGGCTACACATATCTGATCCAGTCCCAAGGTTTCTAAAATTGCAACAGATACAAGAAGCCCTCGCATTTGACACTGAAATGCAAGATGATGCATTCAATGTTGCTATCCAAGCACTATTCGAGGATGAGGTGCACAGATTCGGGGGAACAGATTTCCTAGGCTGGAGGCACTTCTTAAATCAAGATTTCGCGGTACGTCACATTTAGAAGTTCAACTATACAATAGCACACACTCATCACTAATCACGATAAATGCAAACAGATGCACGCAACCGCTGGTGGCGCAGACTGGAACCCCGAGGATCATGTCTACTTATTCAATGACATTCACATACCATACGACGTCTCAAAAAGCCGTCTGGTAGATTCACCACCCATGCCTCACTAACAACCTAGATACTCCAAACTAAATTCTAACATACTGTTTTCAAATTTGTAGATATATATCCCTCTCCACCAACCATTTCATTTCTCAGTCTACGCATTTGATATGGAGAACGAGAAGATTCAGATCATGGACCCCTTAAGAGATACAAGCAAAGGAGGGCAGGACATTGAAGCTAGGCACTCTAAGACTAAAGATCATATTGCGAAAGCATTGCAGGATTGCATGGTCATCTCTTTTCCAGACTGGAAACGCAATATTTCTAGCTGGCAGCATGAGTTCCCAACAAATATTCCAGCAACTGCTAACAGGTTATGCATATTTTTAGTACACACACGTACGAGCACCACTTTAAATATGCATTCCTAATCATGGTTAATTTTACAGGATTGATACTGCTTTCCACGTTCTGCATATCATGAGAAATTGGGATGCAAAATGCTTAGTCAATCCAGTCTCTAGTGTGAGTATCCTTACTAAAATACAATGATACGTAATTTGCTTACGTCATAAATTAACACATTATTCTACAAATTTGACAACATTTCACATGCAGGACTCTCGAGATTTGCGGAAGGTCTTCCTTGCCAATCTCCTGTCATTCACAAGTAATGAGGCCAAACTCCCAGAAAGTGTCAACTACTACATCAAAGCACTCAGGAGGAACTGATACCACATCCCGCAACGACGAATAATAAATAGGCCGACTGAATAGACAAATTTTGAATTTCAATATGTAGTGAATTACGTACTACCTTTTTTGTTTCTGGGAAAACATACTACATTTGATGGAATATTCTACCTTTTCTATATGTGGGGCTTATCTCAATTGTCACCCGCTACATCAAAGCACTCGGGAGGAATTTATACCACATCCCTCAGCTACGAGTAATAAGTAGACCGACTCAGTAGACAATTTTTTTAATTTCAATATTTACTGAAGAACATACTACCTTTCCCTTACATGGGGCTTATTTCAATTTTTTTTAATTCAGTACAAACCATTGGGCAGACTACAAGTCGGTCTCCCTGCTTGCTTCTTCAGTACTTCTCCCCATGAGTCTTGCTCATCTTCTCTATATGGCATCAATGAGAGCTGGCACCAAAAACTAGCCGCCTTGTTACGTATTACACGGACATACTACATACTACATGTCACCATACTCCATACTACATACTATGATACTCCAGCAACTTGAAATACTCACCTCCGAACCAAACAACAGTCCTATATATGCCCAAACCAACTATCTCCTAGTAGTATGTACACGTACTACACGCTCTAGATAAACAAATTAATAAGTGTCATTCATGGCAAACTTAGCCCTGTATAAAACCAACCAGACCACAAAATACTTAACAGGCAGAAATAGACTTATTTTTCATAAGTAGCAAAAAAGAGTTTACAACTTTTAAATAAAGGAGTACGTAAACAAAAAGCAGTACATATCATTCTGAAGACAAGATTCGCCGACGACAGATACCAAAACAAATCCTAGTTACATGCAAGGTACTGCAAGCCACATAACCAAACTAACCACACTCACTACTTTCTCTTATAACTTGAATTGCGACCACACGTACTCTTATTATGTCCTTGCTGACCACAGCTACCGCAGTACCTGATTTGCATTGGCCTAGTAACCCCAGAGCTACTTCCATCTTCAAATTGGATCCTTACTGATGAGCATGCTCCTTTCTTACCCTGCCTTGAAGCAATTTCTCCCTTGGACATATACCTTCGCATCCTAGGTCTTCCTCTTCCCCTTCTAAATTCAGGAGGAAGTATATCACATTCACGAAGACCATCTTCCATCTCCTCATCTTCTACTTCCTCACCTCCCCAATCATCGTCACCGCCTTCTGTTGGCTCACACTCATCTATGCAATTGTCATTGCACAGCTGGGCATCATGATCGCCAAACACATTACCAATAGGTTTCTTCCCTTGTAATCTTTCACTTTGGCGAGTTTCCTTCGTGCTTGATTCTGCCGTGGCTGTCATTAATTTCAAATCTTTCAGGTGATTGCACATCACTTCCATTGTCTTCTGATATGTCTCAGTGTTCGTGTCCCCAATCCGAACCATATCAAGCGCGGTCTGATACATCAGATCGTGTCGATACGTCCTCGATGCAGCAGCTTCATTATCATTGACGTACCCTTTGAGATGTTCTGGAATGGATTCTCTAGCTTTCTTTGTCCACCTCTTCTTAACATACTTTTCTGGTATCTCCCTGACTCCAAATTGCACCATCACCTACACACAAATTAATGTTACCAACCACAGCCATATGAGGAAAAATATTTGCAGAAGAATTTAGGATGCCGATACTTTTATTACTTACCCTCAATATGTGCCGGCAGAGTATCCCCAAGTGCTCAAACAGTTTGCACACACACGAAAATTCTTGCTCACCAATGATGGCCTCAACATCATACTCTCTTCTGCCCCAGCTATCCTTATCATCACCCATATGGATCACCAAAAAATGGTTCTCCTGCGACGATGGTCTTATATCATAAGACACACTCCAAACAAACTGTTCCTTGAACCTTTTGAAAACACCTCTTGTGTACACACGCGCAGCATGTTTTTCCAAAGGCGACTTCGTAGCTGTAACCACCTTATCCTGCAACGCCATCAATATAAAATCAGTAATAACACATGGGTGATCTATATTACAGCTACAATCAAGGCAATTACACTGTCATTATGCATAAACAAAATACTTACATCAGATGTGTGGAACTCTTCGGCGTCTTCCTCCTGTATTCTGTCATAAAAGAAACTTTCATACTTCCTGACAAGGACATTCATCGGAGAAGATGGCTTCACATACTTCTTAAGAACATGGTTCATACTCTCACTTCTCTGAGTGGTCGACATTTTAGCAAAAAAATGTGACTTGAAGTAAACAGGAGCCCATTGTGTCCTCATATCCCACATCCGTTTCATGTATGTGCTAGACTCCAGTTCATACCTTTTCACTAAATCAATCCAAGCTCTCTCGAACTCATCTATTGTCTGCGGGTCATTCAAAACTCTATGAAACTCATTCTTGAAAGTGCTCCTCTTGCTATATATGTTCCCAAAGTTCTCTTTAGCATTCTTCAGTACATGCCACTTGCAAACTCGATGAACCGTACCAGGCCACACCTCCGCGATTGCCACTTCCATCTGATAACAGTTATCTACACAAAAATGTATGAACATGTCAAAAAAGATATACTATATACTACAAGATTTTTACTAACCGTTGCAAATACCTGTCAGAATTGCCGACGGTCTTTTTCCATGCATTGCACAACTGAAAGACTGAAATAACCATTTGAACGCATCGACGGTTTCCTCCCTCATCATACAACATCCAAATACTACTGTTTGGAAGTGATTATTCACCCCAACAAAAATACCAAGCGGCATCTTATACATATTAGTCTGATAGGTAGTATCAAATGTCACAACATCGCCAAAGTGCTCGAAACTAAGCCTCGACAGTGCATGTGACCAAAAGACATTTTTTATCCTACCGGCCCCATCCACCTGCATGGTGTAGTAGAAGTTATCACTTCGCGCCTGTAGCTCTTTGAAGTAATCAATTGTTTTCTGAACATCATCACTACACTCATCTCTTCTTATAGCATAGGCTAATCTGTTCATTGCCCTTCGACTAAAAGGTGCCATACCAGGGCCTCCATGCATTCCTGAAACCAATCCATACATGCCTGTCGGAGCCATACCATTATCTACCATACCTTGAACGATAGTCTTTGTGCCTTCATCTATAAAGTTGTGCGACCTATACTGCTTAGTAAGCCTTACTTTATTTTTAAGAGGGTGGTTATGAACACTGATAAACTTTGTCACCATCCAATCATGCCTCGCTGACGAACGATTAATTCTAAGCATAGCTCTACATCCTATCCTAGTTGCTGCATTTTGCACCTTTTTGTCAATGCCCTGTTCAACATGGTAGATGCAAATCAATAACTAGTACACACGATACATTGGAAACAACTACAATTTACAAACACATACCTGACGCACACAACAGAACTCTTGCATGGTTTTCACCCCTCCCTTTCTCTCCCTACGATTGGAACGCCTGATCCCGAAACCATAGAATCTAGCATAAAGATTATAAAACGCATATCCGTCTACATCTTCTTTGAAGAGCTGGCCCAGTTTCGGCACTATTACTGATGGTTGATAAAAAGACGAAGGAATGGGAGCCTCGACAACTTCATTATCAACCACCACCCTAAAAACATATAACTCCATTACTACTTCATACAGTACGCATGCGTACAACAAAGAAATCATACACAGTACATCGATCTACATTACCTCTCAATTGGAATTTCCTCGATGCCATCTTCTCCGGCCTTGTTCTGGTCATCCTCGACGCTAGGTACGACCGCGATCGCAGGATCTGCGTCCACGCAACCGGCAGCAACGACGCCTCCGCCATTATCAAACTCCATGATCTGCTGTTGCTCTACTCCGGCTCCACGTGCTACCTCCCTCAACGGATCTGCATCCATCATGCACCTTCGACTGAGTTTGTGAGGGTGTGTATATCTGGAACGGAGCACCTACAAGTGCGTGTTTGTTAACGCAACCAACCCTCCTTCCTGAAGCACTACTAGTCACTCCCTTCCATTACGCGTTAGACAACTGACCGGCTCAACAAACCACAAATTTCTCAACGTGCACCCCCTGCATGCATGCCCATCCAGCTCAACTAACCACAATTTTCTCCACGTCAAACCCCATCAAGCCTACTTATCCGGAATGCGTGACCATTTCGCTTATCTGAAACTATCGAAAAAATCTGGAATATTATACAGCAAACTAGGATACTCGTCCTCTGGTATATACTACCTCACGATAGATACTACTGCAATAAAAAAATGCTCCATTTTCTCCCGTCACGTCCACAACTATACGACGAATACTACCTACTACTCCTACATATTTTCATCCTTTCTGTTAGCCAATAAACTCTGTTATCGACTATACTTTTTTATTAAGAAAGCAAACATATACTTCTTTATCATTACGGCATAACGTACATACTGATAAAAAGTTTGCCGTACCATCAACAAAAACATCCAACTATGTTTAGAAATCACACACTTTATACACATACAAAATTGATGGAAGAACTTTATTATCTTCGATGTTTCAGGAAAATACAAATTCCATACAGATGGGAAAAACAATCTAAGATGGCGTACCATCAATTTGACACTAACCGAAATAAAACTAAAATTCAACTAAACTACATAAATTCATGTTCGCATCTACTTCGTCTTCTATCGACCACAAGTAATCCGGTTGTGCCCCAGAGCGCCGCAAGCCGTGCACCGCCTCACTCCATTGCGATCGCGATGTGGTCGTTCTTCCATCCGTCGCTGTATGGCAGCAATTAGTCTCCCATGCCTCTCGGTGATGGAGATCAACCCGTCGATCCTGTTAATTACTTCCATCATACGGTTGTACTGGCTGCAAAAATAAGGGAGCAAATGCTAATCAAAATCGACAACCAACTAGTAGTACATCTCAGAATAATAGAACACATACTCTAGAGAAATAGTGATGCGTTGATTCTCTTGGCCGGCTGGCTCCTCAGATCTATCACCACTGTCCATGCCGTGAAAGAA